GAAAATGAAAGGACAGAACTTTCGGCGCGACCTAATAATTTGATGAAGTAAGATAATGATATAAGATAATAATAAGACAATAAGAAAATTTAATACAAGATGATTATTGATAGCAAAAGTTCCACTTCGTGGATTCATGATGGATGAAGCCGTAGCTAAATCCTTTTTATACCTACAATTATTCACTATACTCGCGCTTACTTGATTACTCTGTTCTTGTCTGGTGTAACTCTTTTAGTCTCTTTCCTGTCGACGTTGAGCGTAATGAATCAAAATATGATGAAGATGATGAGTTAAAGACATCAAAATTTGATGATTATGCTTATCTTCTTGCAAGTTTAATTTTGAAGATTATCAGCTAAAACTAACTTTGGAAAAGTGTGGTGGAAGAATGGAGCTTGAAGAATGGCAGCAGGTAATTCTGAAATAACATGAGGAGACTTAATGTAACTGCTCATTCTGCGGCTTACTAATAGAGTTAAGTGTGTCGTAGTAAGCATTTACGGCAGCTGAGTTGAAGTTATAATCGGTGCGATCTAGAGGTTTCGTCAATCGTTCAAAGACGGCTTTAATGTTCCACACAGCCACCTTTTCCAGCACTTCACCGTACGAGTCATATTCATTCAGTTCCAGCTGAACATGTTGATGCGCTAACATAATCAAACAATGGTATGTGCTGCACTCACGCCTTTATAAAATTCGTCAAGCTTTCTCTCATTCAAAATGAAGTCGGGATATGCTATCAGACGCAGCATTTTCTTTGTCTTGTGCGAAGCATACTGTAAAAAGATCCGTGATTGTTTCTCCGCTTATTTTCTACTCTATATACTTCTCTGGTTTTTTGATCCAGCCAAGGATTTTTTTTGAGCATTTTGCGGAAGGTCTTTTGCAAGTCGGCAATCATATTCACTGCGACTTGTTTTGACGCCTGAATTACTCGACTAATATTCTCCCAGTTTCATCATGTGCTTCAGTACCTCGTCGAATTCATTCTTTACGTACATCGCACTGGTTCCGTATTTCATCAGACTTACAGTCCTTTCGGTACATTCCTTCCACTTCGGTGCCTTCTGTTGTTGTCCATACTGCGCACGAAAATAGTCCTAAATTCAAATAACAATGT